GAGAGGTCACAAGGGAGTGTGATTTTCACTCTTCTCTTTATTTTGATTCCCACAGATCAACTTTGAACCTAACCAGAAGATGTTGAGACTCAAAGCTGAATGAGGAATAAATATCAGAAAGGGACGGTCAATTATACAAACAAAAATAAATTAAAACAAGTCTACATTAATTGCATGAATTCAAAAATTTAAAGCTATATTAATTAATAGTCAAAATATATACTCAGTGGATTGCAAAGTGATTTCGAATCATCACCATTTACTATATATCTAAAACATATATGTCTTCATTCAATCAATAGCACCTTGACAAATTAATTAATGTACAAATAAATAATTATACTTTATTTATATAATCATTCAGAGAAGCTTTCCAGAATGAAGAAAAATATAAACTTTGGCAAGTGAACGTTCAAGTCAATTCTGATAATAAAATGCGCTTAGCTTGATCCTATAGATTTTGAATGTTAATTTGACAAATTGCAATAGACACTAGTCACACTATGTCATTATATCATAGCCAACCCACTGAAATGAATTTTAATATTGTTTTATAGAAAGAGGGCTATATATATAATTTAATTTGACCAGCTGTATATCTAGGTAGCTTTTTAGTATAGTGGCGGTGGTGGATATTGACATGGTTATTAATTTCAAGATTTCCTAGTTCTAATTTCTTTGTTTGGAATCTTGAATGTTTTCCTATAAAATCGTAGAGACACTCAAGTTTTCAAGAAAAAAATTATTACATCTAATCTTTAATATAAGAGTTGGTTTAACTTTTAATTTTATCCTAAATATAAAATCTCAATCCACTTTGTGTTTCATATTTATTTATGTTTTCTAAAGTAGGCCTTGTAGTAGTTACAAATATTAAAGATTCTATCAAATCGTAGTTATAGTTAATATACATAATTACTAAGAGTATTCTAAAGAAGATAATACATATTTATTACAAATAACTAATTTAACAAACTTTCTTAATATATTCAAATTAGTCAACTAACTCTTATATTAAAGACCGGAGGTAGTATTATATTAAATTTTACAAGGGTTTTTTTGAATCAGAAAACTATAAATTCAATTCTATGATAGGAAAAATTGATAAATAAACGACCATGTGACTTTAAGTATTTTAATTATTTTTAAAACTAATAAAAAATTTAAATTCAGTAGCCAACATATTTTGAACCTTTACTTTGTGAAATAACCCTTTTTTGGCATGAAACTTATGAAATACTTTGAAAATAAAAGAAGCATGCATGCATTTATCACCATGTCTCAACATAAGTGCGTATACAAATGTACCTTTTATATTGAATTGATCACTATTTGATCTTTTAAAAAATATTATTATAAAATATTTTCCCATAAAAACTAAGTATTTTTAATTTATTTTTGAATAACTAAACTAATGAGAATAAAATTGATCAATCAAATATTATCAATATATTAATATAAAATTAATAATAAGCGCTGGACTTAGTTTTTAATTAAAAGGACTAGATTATTATGCTTAAGCATAATGACTCAAATTTGAATATCTATATGTATGTATGAAAAACAACATTCACATCATTCGAACATGTGCTTAATTAAATCTAACTAATCCTTCTTTAATCATTACATTCCATCTCAAAAAGCAAAGCAGAGGCTGCTGATAACGAAACGTCCTACTCGTCAGAAGTGCATATAACTTGTGGGGAATTTCATTAATTAAAGCGACAACTCAAGGCAAGTTCTCTATAATTTGTGGAGTTTGAGGAGTCAATACTGATGCTTTTTCAATTGTTCGCAAGTATTTTTCTATTGAAAGTAATTCTCTTTGAGGCTATGATCGAATATTAAATGTGGATAATCTTAGTTCGTCATATTATGAAAAATTAGCCTCTTCCGCTAAATTTAATTTCCATTGGTTCTAATGTTGATGTTTTGGTGACCATTCTTTTTCTGTTTTGTTATTGAATTTAGAAGACAGATACTGATGGTCTGAAATTACAAATGAAATCGAACGCATAACCATTCAGTTATGGAGAGAGTTTTATGTGAGCCCAATGTTATTGGTGTCGCCATTCCTCTTTTGCTTTTTCGTCTCAATTCAATTCAACTCAAGTCTTCTAAACAGTGATGGAAACCTTAACACAAAATGGCGTGTAAGGATCAAAGTCTTGGAGTCATCTTTCTGTCAATTGTCTTTTTCCTTTTATGAGACCTTAGAATCATGTACAACTCACATATCTGCATTTTAGTTCCTTGTTTGTGCAATACTATTTGACAACCAAGAAAGCTATGCGTCGGGAAAAAGAGAAAGAAATAGTATGGATAGTTACGTTTGTCACACATAAACAAAGCCATATATTTATAATTAGCTTACCATGTATCTATCCCAAATGCTTATTCCTCCTTTTTTTGTTTTTAAAATATATATATGGGACATGTGTGTGTGTGTGTGTATAAGACTCTACAATGAGATTCCTTTCCATTGTTTTTTCATAACTGGCAAAGTTTTTCTTTTTTGGCCTCAAATTGGCAAAATGAATTAGACAAGGCTGACGCTTGGTGCATGTATACCCGTGTATTTATATATATGCATGTAATGTATATAGGCGGCTTGGCTGGTTTTGAAGATGTTCTCGAGAACTCGATAATTAAAGAAAAGTAACTCCATCATTTTTTATGATACAATTTTAATCTTGACTTTATTGAAGGGTGAAAAGTAATTTTTGTTCCTCAAGTTTGCCTTCATTTTACTTTTAGTCTATCAAATTTTAAATCATAGGTTTTGATCTTTTAAGTGTCTGTTTATCTAAAACATTGGTCCTATAATTTAATAAAAATCTAGACTATTTTATCTCTTTAGAGACCAAAATTTATGGTTTAAAATTTGATGGACTAAAACCAAAATTCGTGAGGGACAAAAAATTATATTAACCTTTTATTCTTTCTTTATCATTATTTATTGTACACTTATCAAGCAAGTAATAACGCAAGCACTTTAAAGACCCCAAAACGATCCAATAATATGGCAAGAGTATAACAATGAACTAAAATTCAATAAAAAGAGAATGACAACTATGAACCTCTTAAGAAAGTTAACATCATAGCATGACTCTTTAAAAAATTGTTAGTACTGAAATATTAAAAAAATGAGTCGTAACCATTTTTGAGATTATCATCCCTATTGAGATTTACTAGGTGAAGATTTGATATCTAATGCAATATTTTTTCTATGATTTTAAATGACATAAAGTTTTAAAAATTTTTTATTTTCAAACAAAATTAACATGTTAATCCACTTAACCACTTTTCATTGTTCCAATGGGTAGTTAGATGTAACATCTAATATGAATAGAATAATATATATGTTACTATGCTTTAGAGATTGAAAATAATAAACCTTTTTTTTAAAAAAAAATTTCGGGTCTAGGGGAATAAACATCCATATCAAAGTACACAACAATAAAGTATTTACTTCTTATAACATATAACTCACTTTTAGCTATTTCACTGAAACCAATAGGCATGTAAATTATTCATATATTATCCGAAAAAGAAAATAAAAATCTCATTTTATTCTTATTAGATCCACCATATCTGTTAATATATTTGTAATAAAGTGGCACGATTCTCTAATAAGTGGAAAGACGTGAGTTCAATTCTACTTATAATCCAAAGTTAGTAGTGCATACTCCTTTGATTTCAAAAAGGAAAATACATCATTTTCTTCAGCAAAGAAAGATGCATCATATTTAAAATACTTGTCTTTTGTAAAACAGGTGATTATTGGTAGTGAAACAAAGTAGGCCCAAAAAAGTGCGAAAGGGCAAAACTGAATGAAGATATAATAATGATTCTTATATATATATATATATATATATATATGTATGATGACCTATAAAAAATCAGCAATTTGTTAATGACTTATATATGAAATAGTAGGAAGTAGATTATAGAGGATTTAGATTATTAGGAATGCCTGAATAGTTATTGCTTCCCAGAGTTAGGAAAAAAGACAACTCTATTAGACGGTGACAAGTATTTTCCTATTATTAGCTTATGTGCGCAAATAAAGAATGTGTGTAAAATTTGGGACCCCCAAACCAAAAAGAAAAAAGGTGTGTGAAACAAGCAAATGTGCTCAAATAATATTAGAGAAAAAAAAAGGGGCTCATTTCTATTAAAGAAAAAAAAGAGGTTTATTATAATTACTAGTTGCATTTTTAGAAATAAATAATTACCTACTTATTTTTTGTGGTTTGATAGCTCCCTAGGGTTAGGAGCCTTCTTTCCACCACCAACTTTTTCACCCCACTTCTACCGTAATCCAGGAAAAGTATGAGAGACTCACAAAGAGAGACCCCTCCACCATCTTCGAAATCAACAATGTGCCGTAACTTTAATCATTATTAATAATCCAATCCTCAAACAAATTCCTTCAATTAAGCCTCAGTCCTTAAGCTTAATCATTGCAGAATAGATCCTTCACACTTACCCGCAAAACGTTCCCATCGTTGGGTCAATTCCATACCAAAAAATTGAAGAGTGTTTTTCGGAATGAACCTTCATTTATCAGTGCAGGCTAATGATCTTTGCGAAGCATTCACATCTCAACAATGAACCATTTCATTTTCATGTCAAACAACTTTGAATTTCATGTGGACAGATCAAACTTTATATTCGTTTTTTTTTTTAATTGAAGTAAACGGGAAGACCATTTCAATCACGGCACTCTACCAGTGGGAAATTTCTGTATGAATTAAGCATATTATCAGTAATATAAAGTGACCGATCAAATGAAGTGATGCATTTTTTCAGTGGTAGTCATTCAATATTCCCTTTCAGCGCAAGAAATGCAGCCACGAAGAGAAATAAAAATATTTTTTAACAAAAAGTAAACAGGAAGATTCTGCAAGTTTGTTACATTGAACATGATCTTAACATATGGTGATTATAAAGAACCTGTTGGATGCTAATCTCTTAGCGCAGTAAGGATTAGTGGTGATACCACATGTTAACCCATAAATGAGGAATTCACTGGGTCAACCAAATTTGACTTGTTCTTTAGTTGAACTCAGCTTCCCTTCTCTCATTTTTCATAAGTCACTCACATGATTCCCAATTGTACAATTGAATTAATGGCAAGTGACCACATGGAGGTGGGGTTCACTTGTTCATCATCATTACGCCAAACATTATATTTGAGACACATCAACCGCTATTCTTAAATTATATATAGCCTTAGTTCACTTCACTCCAAAATTCAAGGGAGCCTGTTCTTTCTTTCTCTTGCTCTTGCGCTGCAACTACTCTCTCTAGCTTAGCAAAAATGGTCTCAGCTTCTTCTCCTCCTTCCAAGGTAACTCTGTGTATAGTGTTCTTCAGTGTCTGTGCTTTTGTTTTGTTGGTTCGGTATTTCTCATGCTCTGATTATTGCAGGAAGTTAATTCAGACGGAAAATGGACAGAAAATGGACCTATCCGAAATGCCAAATGGTGGTACTCGACCTTTCACACCGTCACGGCCATGATAGGCGCAGGAGTTCTAAGCCTACCTTATGCCATGGCTTATTTGGGATGGTACGTGGAAGATCAATATTGGATTATGTCCTCACCCCACATGAAAAAGCTTACAGCTTTTAATATTAACACTACAAAATTACATGTTTTTTATTTTCAGGGGACCAGGGACGATGTTGTTGTTGTTATCTTGGTGTCTGACCTTGAATACAATGTGGCAAATGATCCAACTCCACGAGTGTGTTCCGGGGACGCGGTTCGACCGTTATATTGATCTGGGTCGACATGCTTTCGGACCAAAGCTTGGACCTTGGATTGTGCTTCCTCAGCAGTTAATTGTCCAAGTTGGGTGTGATATTGTGTATATGGTCACTGGGGGGCAATGCCTCAAGAAGTTCATGGAGATAGCTTGCACGAATTGCACACAAATCAAGCAATCGTACTGGATTCTCATCTTCGGGGGCCTCCATTTCTTCCTCTCTCAGCTTCCCAATTTCAACTCTGTTGCAGCTGTTTCATTAGCAGCAGCTATTATGTCTCTGTGGTAAGGACCAGTGAATCCTTTAACATCTGGCCTTGTTTACTTCGTATTATAATTCTTTTATTATAATTATTACTACTGTGCTGCTTCTGCTGCTTTAAATGTCGCAAGTCAACACTATATTTTGATTTGTATCTCATAGTGTCTCGGGAGGAGTCTATACTTTTCTCGCACTTTAACTTTATGGGTCCTGGATGCTTTCTGAGCCAGCTTGACACTTTATGTCCATTAAAGATCACAGGAAAGTTCTGGTTGGATTCTTTGGGGATAAAAAGAGGTAACCCATGTGAGAAATATTTTAAGACAGGTAGCCAGATTTCTAGAGAATTGTGGTGGGCTTGTCTACTTTGCTTAGTTATCACTGAGTTACCTTTTTCCATAGGGGAATGTCAGGAAGGTGTTTGCTTGATTCTAAGAAGATTAGAACAAAAACAGGGGCATATATCTACAGAACCCAGATTAGTAGATTTGGAAAAGGCCTTTTGCTTGAACTTGGCTTGAATTAATTCTAAGAATAACTAGACGAGATAGCTATATGCTTCAGAAATTTCACTTTTTGATTAGGCCTGAGCAATGGCCATTATCATCTAGTAAAAATCATGTGACCATATAACCATCTGTTCTTTTCCTCTACAGTTAGGAGAGGAACCAACAAGAATATGATAGACTAATACCATAAATAAATTGATTATAATATGTTCAATGCTTAAAGGGTTTAATCCAGTTGGGAAAAAACAAGTTTGATTTTTCCAAGAAACAAAAAAAATTCTAGATGACCATGAGTTCAGAACACTAGCTCACTGTACACTGGTGGCGCTGTGATTGTAGCTATTCAACTATCTCGTGGGTGGCATGCTTGGCCAGAGGTCCAATAGAGAATGTGAGCTACGCATACAAGAAGACAACCTCGACAGATTTAATGTTCAGGGTGTTCAATGCATTTGGTGAGATCTCATTTGCATTTGCCGGCCATGCAGTGGCCCTTGAAATTCAGGCCACAATCCCTTCAACCCCCGAGAAGCCCTCAAAAGTATCCATGTGGAAGGGTGCCCTAGGTGCCTATTTTGTTAATGCTATATGCTATTTCCCAGTGGCCCTTATAGGGTACTGGACTTTTGGGCAAGCCGTCGAAGACAATATCCTTAAGTCTCTTGAAAAGCCTGCTTGGCTCATTGCCTCTGCAAATTTGATGGTCTTTGTTCATGTTGTTGGCAGTTACCAGGTATATGTCTTCAAAATCAAGAAGCTGCTATATTCACTGATATATATCCCTCAAATTAAGGTGTGTTTTTGTCTAGTTTGATGGAGAAAAATGGATTGGATTGTAGGTTTACGCCATGCCTGTGTTCGATCTGATAGAGAGGATGATGATCAAGAGAATGAACTTCCAGCCTGGATTAACACTCAGACTTGTTGCTCGAACTTCTTACGTAGGTGAGATGTCAGAACCATTTATTTCATTGCTGCAGAACATTTTCCCCTTGCTGTAGAGAAGAAATTTTCTGTACATATACATGCAACAATGTAAATATAAATTTTGTGTTACATGTACAGATTAATATGAACCATTTTATGCCTGTGTATATGATGGGCACAGAAATTTTATTGTTGAAAAGAGCATTAGAAATTGACCTCAGGTTCAAGTTTAGTATTTGAACTAGTAGATTAAAATTCAGTCTCAAGTAACACGTTTGCATATCTACCAACGACTACCCAACTTAACTGTCAAGTGGTTATGCTATCATAACCAATAGTCTTGGGTTCGAGCTTCAGGTATGCAGCTACGTTGAATAGTTATTGAGAAAGCTTTTTTGCTTTTGTGGTTCTTCTTAGCTCAACCTAGGCTGATTAGAATTCAATGTGGCTTCTGAATATTGAGTGGTTTGACATATATATATATAAATATATATATATTAAGTTTACATATCCACTACAAAATAATTATAGCATGCATTAGATGAGAGAGAGTTGGTTTTTACATGAAAACTCTTGAAATCACCATAAGTGGGTTGAAATGTTGCAGCTTTTACATTGCTCGCTGGGGTGACCTTCCCATTCTTTGGCGATCTTCTTGGGTTTTTTGGAGGATTTGGTTTTGCTCCCACCGCCTATTTTGTAAGTCTGATCTATATATCGTCCTCTGCAATTTCCTCATGCTTCTGTTAAATCACTGAAGAAACAAGAACTGATTCAAAGCCTAAAACTTTTTTATAATCTGACTCGTCAATATATTTCAGCTTCCAAGCATAATGTGGCTCATAATCAAGAAGCCAAGGAGATTCAGCATCAACTGGTTCATCAATTGGGTATTGATCAATAATTTGCAGGAGCATCTTTTTCCTTTTTATGAAGCATCATTAGAAAAATAAAACCCACATAAAACCCACAAGTAAAATGCACTGATTCCTAGTTTGTGTGTTTTTTCAGGTTGGAATATTCATAGGAGTGTCCATTATGTTGGCTTCCACAATTGGTGGCTTCAGGAATATTATTGCTGATGCCTCGACGTATAGTTTCTACACTTAAAAACGTCAGTACTTAGTACTGTATCCCAAGAATACGTCAAATGTAATTAATCTGCTTGGTTAGGCTGCTTTGGCTAGTGACCCTCTTTTTTACCATGATATTTGAGAGGCCAGGCCTTTTTCATAAGTAGAAATTTAGTTTTTAAGTGAGTACTATAAAGTTCTTCGGTAGAATTATTACATATGATAAATGTGTAATTTAATGACATGAAAACTCCTCTATAAATAACGGGTTGTAGGTTTGATCTCGTTTGTAGTCTCAGGTCATTAGTGCCTGCCCTTATGATTATAAAAAAAAAAAAAACAAAGAGAATAATTACATATGATAAACTCTTACCTTATGTTTGGTATAGAGCAAATGAAAAGAAGGGAAGGAAAATAAAACTTTTAATGCGCTTGATTTGAAAAATTTGAAAAATGGGATTTTAAAATGTATTGAAGCCATCAATTTGGTTTCACGAGGCTGTGATCAAAAGCACCCCTTTCATGATGTTATAGATGATTGTAGGAAGTTAACTAATTGCGATTGACAGGTCTTACCTATTTTTTTTCTATCAGAGAAACCTTTTTATGGCTGATTGTTTAGCTAAGATTTCTCATAGTTTGGATAATCCTTTTTGTATTTTTGACTATCTTTCATCTTTTTAGGAAGAGACAGACGGTTACGAGGGTTTTTGACTTCTTAGCCTAGTTGGTTTGTTATCTTTGTACTGTTATATAGTTTCAATAAAAAAAATACTAATAAAAAGAAGATATAAAATAAAATATTAATTAATTAAAAACTTTTAACTTTGTTTTTAAAATTTTTCAGGTGGAGATTGTTAAAAAAAAATTTCTCCTTCCTTTCTATTTCCCTCGTACCAAACAAACCATAAAACTAAAGTTGACAGTGTGATGCTCAATCATAAAAATATTTCCATTTGAAGCTTTTATCAAAAACTTTACCCCCGTTATAGCATATGTGTGTGTTTTGGTGACTAATTTGAACTTCATTGACAAAGATGCAAACACGCATGAGGGCAAATTGGCAAATAGTTCTTATTATACACTGTTCAAATCCCCATTGTGGACATTAGTGGCGAGTGGCCACACTTTAACATGAATCAATTCACTTCAAATTAGTCCAATCTTGTTATTTCCACGGTCATATATTCTTGCATTAATGGATTATTAATCCGTATTATAGATGAACGCAAAATCTCGATTCTGTTCTAAATCTAAGAGATCAAATGCAAAATAAATCCAAATAAGTTAAGGAATACGTCCTAAATATAATTCAAATAGAGATCATAGGTTCATGGGGTTAGCAAGTTGCAATTTTTTGAGGATTTTTAAATTTTAACCCTAATTAATATATGCTAATAATACTTAAAAAATCCCGGACAACTTCTCCTTTAAATCACCTACACATTTAAAGAGCTCCTCTAATCAAGAAATGGAACACCATTAGAGAGAGATGGTGAGCAAAGAACACAGTTAGAATGGCATTCTTTTTTTAGACTAGCCTTGGCTAGCTAATCAATAGCTCGATTAGTGTCTCTAAGAATCTAAAATCACTTAGTGATATCTGATAAACTAATTTATAGCCCCACGTGATGCGTAGTTTGTTTAAAACGTATAATAAATTAATAAAATAATTTAACTGAATAGGAGATGAAAATATTTCACAATGAAAGATAAAAAACTAGGATCGAGTAAAAACAGAGCAACCCTTACAAGCTATTTTCAAAAGAGTAATGCATTAGCAATATCTGTTTTATGTCATACCCGCATAAAAATAAGAAATCATTGTCCACTGCCTTAGCATCGTCTGAATCTATTGCAACATCAAGGGGGTGGGTGTACTCAAAATTTATTTCTTGTGTATGATCAAATGCTACTTTTGTCATGTTCTTGTGACTTACTTGTTAATGCCGGATACAAATTCTCAATTATCAAATTCATTTGTTTCAACCTTATTTCTCACTGAAATATCAAATGACAGTCATTTTATGATTTCATTTTTTTTTCCAGGAATATATCAGGTAATAACTATTCTTACTTTTTTTTTCCCCCGGTTATTACGTATTAAACACTTCTCTTTTGGCCAAAAAAGCCACTTCTCCGGCCAAAAACACAACCACCTCTGTTTTTCCCGCTCTTTTCCTGAAACAACAACCACACTTGAGAAAAATTGGATTTTGTTGTTAGAATCCTCACATGAGATTCGAGTTTGCTATCACAATTATATAAGAATAAGCAAGCAATGTCTGTAGTGTGGAGGCTTGAGTTGGAAGTCAAGCAAAGGAGCAAAATTAGGACTTCCAACTGAACCCCACTGTCATGTTATGAGAGACCCGAGAATAATTTCAATCTATTTGTCTCCTTTAACCTACCTACTTGTTTCGTTTAATTTCTTGTATATTGGAGACGAGTAATGCCATCACTATGTTAACCTATTGTCATGTAATATTGTTGTTCAATTAGAACATAGATTCATTTGAGACCGACTCCTTTAGAAGTGTTCAATGTTATGAAAGATATGAAACACGCCAGCTTCCACCCTGATTTCAGTTAACTATTGGTTAATTTGTAAATTTCGAAAACTTTCATTCTCAATCCGTTTCTCTGCTCGTCTGCATGTGAAATTCGTTGTTGTTGTTTTTTTTTTTTTAATTCCTTTCGTTGATTATTTTCTTGTAATAGCTCTCTGTCATGTGCAATGAATGGCCTAGTTATGTTTTGACCCATATCTGTCTTCCTCTTTTCATTTGCTTATACTTGCAGAATTTGTTGTTGCCCATAAAATCTTGGATCACCCTGTGTACATGGTTAAGTGTTTCAGCTGCACTTAGTGAACTAATATTTGCACCGCAGGGGACAAACATTCTCTTTGCAAAGGACCATTCTCCAATCTCTGCATTCCCATGGCTGCATTAGCAACAGGACCAGGTCAGGGAGGAGGACTACCGGGGAGACCAGTTATTGAAAAAGGCACTCCTGGTCGTGAGTCTGAGTTTGATTTGAGGTATTCAAATACTCCTTTGGTCATTAATATAAGATCCATTTAACAAATTTGATTAGATTAAGAAAGTTAGGTAAGTTAGTTAATTATAAAAAATGTGACATATTTTTCCTGAAATACCATAATTTTTGAGGGGATTGGTTTCCTTTTCCCTTTCCCTTCACAATAATTGGGATTTTCACCTAAAAATTATAGATCGCTATTGGTGCCTTGTCCTTCATGATGGTTTAAAAGCTGTTTTTAGCCATTTGTTAGTTTTCTGCTATGAAGCACAGATGCATTGTCGTATTTTAACATAAAAGAGAATTTTTAATCCTGGGGTTCCTAAGATGTGCAGGAAATCACGAAAAACAGCACCACCGTACCGAGTGATTCTGCACAACGACAACTTGAACAGACGTGAATGTGTTGTTCAAGTACTGATGAAGGTTATTCCTGGGATGACCCTTGATGATGCATATAACAATGACATCATGGTAGAAGCTCACTACAATGAGTTTGTCGGTGGTGATTATCTGTGCCCAAGCTGATGCTGAAGAACACTGCGCGCAACTAGGAGGCAATGGCCTATTCAATTCAATTGAACCTGCAAGTTGGGGCTGCTGCTAAAAGGTGTCAACATAAGATAAGTATTAATCTAGTCAACGTTGTCTAAAATGAAGTATGGGAATATTCATGTTAAAAAGGAGACAAAAATGTGTCAGTGTATGAAACTTGGTCTGCCATGAATCAATGATCGAGATATGGGGTAGTTGTGATTGAGTAAAGAATAATCTCAACCTCTGCATCAACTAGTGTTGCTCAAACTTTTTAAGGTTATGGATATATTTAATTGTATAGAGACGCCTTAAAAGTGAACTAAATAAAATGATGTTCTCAACATGCCTCTGGCATACATGTCCGAGTTTTACATTGGGATTAATCGGCAAGACAAATAAAATTTTGTTAATAAAAAAACAAATATCCAAAACTATTTTAGTCAAATTTTCTATCAAACACCCATCTTTGCAAGTCATCTCCTTCGTTTTGAATAGCATACTTCACGCACACTAGCTACGAGCCTTTTTGTTAAAGACGCATCGTGATCTTGAGTCATGTTCTAGTTTTTGACGGCATTATACTTTTTGTCAGTTTGGAAAAAAAAAAAAAAATCTCCTTTTGTTAAGCGTGGGCGTGGCGGTAAAAATTGAAACTAGCCAATTCCTGCCAACTTAGAGTGTGTTTTAGTGTGTTTTAGAATGCTGTTTGGATTCTATCTAAAAAAAACAAAGAATGCTGTTTGGAAGCCCATACATGCATCCCAACTAGAAAAGCTAAAGGTGTGGGTAAAAAAAAAAAAGTGTTTGGGCCCACATTTTGAGATCTGACATTTGGTCTTCAGATGGATTTCTGCAATAGGTTCCTTGGAGTTGTTTTTTTTCTAATTGGTAGTGCGTTCAGTAATGCTGTTGGAGCATTAATTGCATTTTAAAATTTGTTATCCACCTTGACCCTATCTTGCATGTATTTTCTCTCACCCGAGGGTAAAAGAAAAGGAGACAAAATCAAAGGCGCGCGAGCACATCTCTCACCTAAGTATTTTTGTTTTCTTTTCTAATAATAAATTAAATTTCTTTATTTTTAATAATTTTATTTTCAATATTTCTTTTAAAATGGTCACCTTATATATATATAATACTCCCTCTGTCCCTTTTTATAAGCAACATTGGAGCTCATTACGTAGATCAAAATGTTAGTTAAAATTAGTTAAAGACAATAATGTGTAGAAATTAAAAATTCTTTCTCTAAAATGTCCTTATTTATGGGGGAAAGTATAAGAGAGAGAATAAGAAAATTATTATAATAAAGAGAATTGTGGAAAAGAGAGAATGTGTGATGGAGAAATGATGGTTTAGAAAATGAGATAATAAATATATTGAGTATTAAAATAAGCAATTAATGAGGGTAAAATAGAAAATTCGCTACAAAAATTTAAGACAACTTACAAATGTTGCTTATATTTAAGGAAAAGAGGGAGATAGTAATTGTTGCTTATAAAATTAGATGAAGGGAGTATTAGATATGTATTACTCTTCCGGTCATAAATATAATACTCATTTTGTAGTGTAATTACATTACAAAATTGGTCTTATATTTAGGACTAGATGGAGTACTTAATAAAATTCATGTTCTTTTAAGTCATTTTGCATCTAAACTTGCCTTTTCATTTATCATCCAAACAAGTTTCAATTTCTCAAACTGATTTTTTTTAACAAAACTCATTCTAAATATAAATCACATTACACTATCTCACTTTTATCGAATCTGACTTCTGTGT